TATTATTAAAACGCCTCACAAGGCATTCTCTCTCCCCGAGAGTACTAGTACCTTGTGAAAATGCTGATGATTTCAGGTTTCAGCATTACATTTTTAACATTCCTCTCTTTGAACCATCTTTCTATTTTCCTATGCTCTAGAGATTGTTCAATATTAATATATCTGGAATGTAATCTGTAGGAGCTGGAGACAAGCCGTGTTAATCTACACAAGGTAAACATATAGAAGGTCAGAACATATCTCCTCCAACCCCACCTCTCTTGTGTGTGAGAATACGTCTTCATCCAGCCACCCAGTCTGGTTCAGTCATCGAGTAAGACCTGTACTGCTCAGTATTCCAGCCCTGTGGTGCTCGTCAGATATTCAATAAAAGCACCAAATATCACAACAAATCAAAGTGAATTACAACAATCCTGTAATTGAATAATAATCAGTAAAGATATATCATTTAATGCTCATCAGTCATCAGAACAAATGAAGTGCTCCTAGATTGAATATAATAGACAGGATAAATGCTGAATAATGGTGCATTGAAAGTTTATTCAAAATGATGCAAAGATGAATTACGCAGGACATGGAGGTAGATATACTCCCTGAGGTTCTCTCAACTTACCTCGGGGGTGGGGGAAGGGAAGAAATTCTTCAGAACCATTTCCAAGGTTGAGAACCAACTAGAGAAAGCATCAAATCACTTGATAGTAACGACGACTGGCTGGGGGTGGGCAAGTCCATGAGGAAGCATGCGGCATATGGTGTGGGGAGGAGGTGAAAGGGTTCAATGGGCTGAATGGCCTTTTCTTGTTCAGTGCTTTATTTTCCAATGATCATCCCAGCATATCCTTACTACAATAAAACACTGTTTCCTTTTCAAAGAAATTATTTTGTAAACAACGTAAGGCAGTTAAACTGAAACCACAAACCATGTTTATGGCTAAGAGGTTCTGTGTCACACAAGCACCAACAAATTAGTGTGCCATAACCCGAAGTGTTAATTAAATTAGAATCACACCATCCACGTATAATCACTAAACGCATTTTCATACAAGTGATATGAACAGAATAGGCCATGAGCCATTTAGTTCAAGTTTGAAGTAAATATAACCGAGGCCCACCTGCAGCTTAAGCACTGAGGTGAGCTGCATGTATTGCAGTGGAGCAGGTGCCCTCTACTGGAAGAGGTGTAGAACATAACTCATTGTAATCTTTAGTGTCAGCCTGGCTCAGTTAAGCGCGCTCAAGAGAGGCACAGCCAGACGTTTGTTCATTCAAACCCCCACAATAGGACTTTGAGCTCATAGTCTAGACTGACTCTCCAATGCAGTGCTGGAGAGGCATCTCTGGGGGGAGCGTTGCATTGACAGAGATCCCACGGTTTGGATGAGATGCCAAAATAAGGTCCAGTCCCGTTAAAGATCCCAATGGCACTATTCAAAGAGAAGGGATTTTCTCCTATGGTTCTGGCCAACAAACCCCAAATAAGAAAAAATGGTTATTCACTTCAAGACTGTTTTTAGGGACCTGGATGGGTGCAAATTGACTGATATAGGCAACACACTTGCCAGAGTTTCCCTATGAAAAACTGATTTTTTTTGTTTACATAGGCTCTATATCAAATGTAAGAATTATTATTATTACTGGTCGATGATAGAGGCGATGCTGTGTACTGACGTTTAGGTGCTGCTTCTGTATTTTGTGCCTTACATTTATGGTCAGAGGAAGAAAATGAAGACTTAGTGCGCTTATATTAACAGTTATGTTCACTTTGCTGCTGAAAATACACCGAGATAGGCAGCGCAGTCCATTAGCACAGCTCAGCAAACAGCTAAATTGATGGAAATCAATGGAAGATTGCGAAACAAGAATGATACTCCATCCTGGAGGCATCCTAAGCATCCCAGCTCTGACCTGCACTGAGCACAGCTCACAGAGGCTAGATTTCCTCCTCAGTATCTGTGGGCAAGAGTGATGGAGCACAGTCTTGGAGAAGATTAAACACTGTTGTATATTTGATCCTTTAAAACCCTTTTTGGGCCATTTCCTGAGTGTCATCATTAGCTAATGGCATCAATCTTTCACGGCTACTTCAGGCCAGATGCACAGCCTAACATGTGGTCACACAGCTCCCGGGGGGTTTCTTGTTTCACGGCAGCCTTGATAACTTAATAGAGCTTTTAAGTACATCTAAATACAAAACCCTGACCTTCAAGCTTCAACGTTTTCTTCAATTCCAAGTTTTGTTTAGCTTTTAAAAGGAAAAATAATGATTGCATTTTTCCTGCTCTCTTCACTGAGGTCTCGCACATAAGGTCTACTTCAGACATCTTCCATTTCGGGCAGGTTAGTGAATGTTCTAAACATACGCGAGACTGCTAGAAAAAAAGAATATCAGTTGAAAATTTTCCAAAAATGATGATAATTCTTACAATTTCAAGTAGCAACAGACCAGAATTTAATGATTAGACCCTGCATGATGAACACAGACACAAAGTTCACCTATCTAACCTCTTACCAGTCAGCTGCGACTACAGTGATTCTATTATTCCCTCATTTTCAACAGTGCTGCAACAGTAAGAATCCAACACTGTACAAAAATGCACAGTGAGAACCGTGTGGATTGGTCGAGCGGGGAAATGTGTGATCAAGGTTAGGAAGGGAGGACGATGATGAAATGGAAATTCTTTCTACTTTGGACTAACAATAGCATTACGTCGTCCTGGTCACGATCGGTCCTGGTCACGCGCAATTCAGACTTCAATGGCAATCACAGAGCAGCCTCTCTGCATCTAACCAAGATGCCATCTGCCTTCCATAGTCATAGCTTTTGGCTTCTGTGAGTGAAACTGTTGAATAATGGCCAGCGAATGCTGAGTTTGCACTGTACAATCACCTACTGGGAACTGAATTGGAAACTAACTTGACTCACTACAGAAGGGCCATTAACAGCCATTACTGTGTGAAGACTAACTCCCATCTGTCTGTCTGGAATAGATTCAAACACAGGTCCTGGGGGAGGAAGGACATCGCTCTAACACAATATGCCATCCTGTCCCATTAGATGAGTTCAGTTCAGGTGGACTGATCTGTTTATAGCACTAAATTCAATGCCTTTTGCTCTTCCCAATAATGTACAGTGCAGCTTGTAATCAAACACGATTGAATTACTGTATCTAGCGAGGCACAAGAGCAAAACAAAGTCAATCATACTCCTGTGTGTTATTTCCAAAAAAACTGAGCAGCAAGAACAGCCAGCAATCATTGGATGTCACCCTCAGAGTGCCATTTTGTGCTATTTTTAAACCAGTCAATAAAATGTGAAAATCTTCCTAATGATCGTCTCCAATCTCAAGATTCCATCTTGCTCTCACTCTAGCTGAGAGGAATTTGTCGAAGGTGCCTTCCTTGAAATGAGATGGTTAACTGTGGTCCAGATGGATGGTAAAAGAGAAGGGAGTTTCTCCTGATATTCTGGTCAACAGTTCAATAAATTGGTCAAAAATTACACAGCTGTGCATTGGACCTACTTTGTGCCAACTGACTGTCAAATATGACAGTCAGACTGGACAGCAATGGCCTGAAAAGCTTTTTGAGATGTTTCAACATTGTACGTGCACATCATTATTATATGATTACTGGAGCTCAGTGATAACCCTGTTATGTGGTCACTCAGAAGCGAACATCAATCAAACACTTTGAGCCCTTTGTCTAGCCCAGGAAATGTGTCAAACAAGACTGCTTTAGGGTGCCAATGGCTACCACAAAAGGTAGTTAATAACAGAGTAACTCAACTCCTTCCTCATCAATAGAAAAGCGTAATCTGACCATCGCCTGTTGTAACATATGCATACATTAACTTAAATTACAGCACCAAGAAACAAGGCATCTGATAAGGCACAGTTCCTTAAATTGCGTAACATTAGTAGGATAAGGGCAGGCCAGAAGACCTATTCTTAAAGGGATGGGCCCTTTTTTGGGTCATCAAAATCTTTCCTGAATCTAGCAGCTTGAAAATCAGATTCCAGTTGTACACCGAATGTTGATGATTAAAAAACAAAGGTTCATTACAACCAGATGAGCAAGTGGACTGCTGGCTGATCTGCTAACGTGACTTATGTGCAATTTCTCTAAGAATGCAAGACCAAAAATCTGAAGATGGGATTTCTTGAAAAAAATACAGCGAACGGTTTTACTAACTCAGCTAAAATATTTTAACTCTCAGTCAGAAAGTAAACAAGGTAAGGCCAGAAGGAGGGAGCTCACCTTGTTCCACATGTATGCGGATGATATCCAACTCTACCTCTCTGCCTCCACCCTAAACTCCAGAGACACTGCTGTCCTCAACGGCCTCCAGCTTGCTTCATGTACCCCACCTTGCCCGCCCCAAATTGGCATGCCGGCCTTCAGTCTTTCTACCCCCACCCTCTGGAACTCCATCCACAATCCCTCCGCCTCGCCCCCTCCCTCGCCTCCTTCAAGACCTATCTCAAGACCCTCCTCTTCGATCATACCTTCAGTCACTCTTCTACCCCAACTTCCACCTCTCCTGATCCCAACCACCAGCTCGGGTCCAGATTCCTGACTGTCCAGCACCTTGGGACATCCTTCGGACGTGAAAAGCACTATACAAATGTGATTTGTTATTGTTAGTGCAAAGCCACCAAACAACTGTCTGAAAGACGGCAGAGTTTGCATCAGAGGTTAAAATCAACAGGACATGTCCTCGTGGTGGGAAAGGCGCTAAATAAATAAATGTGAATTGGACTATAAATGACAAATTCATCCTGTCACAAAAAATTTATAACCCACTTTAGTTTTGAAAACACTGGTTCCTTGAGTCAACGCAGACCTCACTTTGTTCTTCCTAGGAATACAGACAGCACCAAGAACCAGTAGAATGGGATTTGCTCAACAGAAAGGCACTCCAGAACAGGGTGGTGCTCCCCTCCATTTGTAGGATCACAAACATCTACTCCCAGACATGCTCTACGCAATATTGGTCTTACCTATACTTCATGCCCGTCTGATAGGCTGTGCAGTCATCCAGGGATAGGCTGTTCATTATGAGAAACTCCTCCATCTTCTTGGTCTGTGCCAGAGCCCTGACCTCTCGTAGCTTCTGCATCTCAATGGTATCGGTTTGCCGGATCTGGTTCAGACATTGATCTGAATGGTGCCTAGTTATCCGTTCCTTCAGGTTCTCGGAGTAGGACATGGACAGCATTTTCTCGACTGTCTTGGATACCTGCAGATTGTCAGGTTGTATATTTTTGGGTGAGAAGCCCCGGTTAGTGCCCTGCAGTGAGCCGAGCCTCACTAGTGGTGGGTCTGTGAGCAGCAAACTTGTTAGGAAGCGGTAAAGGATATTAACTAACTGGACCGGTTACAATAGGCCACATTTTACCTAAAAATAGCACCGCTTAAATGTTCACGAGCTACACTATCTTGGATGCCAACAAACAAAGCAACCGAACATTGTGTAACTTGATCTCCACACTGTCAATCAAGTAGGAGAAAAAAAAATGAAAGAGTTAAACTGATGGTTCCACTAGATAACATGCAAACATTTACCAAACAAATCAAAGGCAACTTTAGGTTTTTCTCACTAATGGAACATTTACCTTTACACCTTTAAACCGAAATGAAAGCAGCTGCTGGGTCATTACTGTACGAACATCTCTGGCAGAAGCTAGTCCTATCCCAACTTCAAAGTAATTATTACCTGGTGTTACTTGTAGAAATTCGAGCCTGCAAAGCGAAAATAATGGCAGCCATCCTGGACCCAGCCTGGGCAAGCGAGTGGCAGCAGCTATTTGTCTCTAGGTGGCATCAGAACTGATCTTGTCCTGTCCTCACCTGTCATCCACACAGAACCTGGGTAGATTTCTTTCCACCCCAGCGGCACTGAGACCATCTTTCCATCAGGCTGAGAATCACTAACATAGTGCAGCTCAGGGGATCAACCTATTGACTGCATGCTTCAGTCCCACCCTGAGTAGGTAACTGTGCTATCAGCTGATTCCCAATTCAGTAACTTTAAAAAGTTTATCAATCAATATTTACCACATGTAAATTACATTAACCTAAAGACACCAATCCACTACACTTTAACAGTTGAAGCTATACAATTATTCCATTTAAGTATGCATGAACCATAACGTTTTCCAACTCAATGTCGACAAAACTAAGGCTCTCGTCTCGTTTCGTCAGCGTCTCCTCACCCCAGTGAAACCAGTGACCGTATTAACTTCCCCAATCACTCACTCCAATTCAGGAAGCCTATTTTGTACCACCTCACCTTCAACCTTTACTATGGACTCTGATCAAGTTTGCTTTCCTCCACGTACACAACATTGCCCACCTGTCACTACCTCCACCCTTTTGTCACTAGCTTTCTCTCTCCCCCCACCCCACACCTCTGAAACCTTCAGCCATGCCTTCGTCATCGCCAGACATGACATTTCGAATGCCCTACCTGCCAGCTCCCCAACTCCAGCTTCAACAAGCTCCAGACCATCCAGAATCCCACTGCCTGCATTCTTCCCCACACCAGGTTACCTTTCAATGCCTCATTTGTGGCCTTACCCCACACTACTTCTACAACCTACCTGCATGGTCTCTCCCTCTGCCAACTCTGGCCTACATCATGCCCTCTCCCTTTCTGCCCCACCATCAATGGTGCGTGAGCTTCCACCCACTTTGCCCCCAACCCTCTCAACCACTTTTCCCTTGTACCCATCTAATACTGTGCTCAGCTACTCATCCTCTCTCTCTCTCTCTCTCCCCCAACTTAAGCTCCCGCTCCGTCTTTGTAAAGTGCTTTGGGACCTCCTCCAGATGTGAAAGACACTATACAAGTTTAAACTTTTGTTGTTGCTGCTAACAGTGGTTTTAAAGGGAGGCATTATTAGCTTAACGTTCTCTATCCTTCAGTCAACCCACCAAAGTCACTTTAGATTTCTCCTACACAGCAGTAAGCAGTCAGTAATGAATTTTAAAAATCAATGACGCTTCCGGATAGGCATTCAACACCGACAGTCATGCCAATCCCCAATCCCCACTGACAGTGGCCTCACTCTCTTGCTCACACACAGGCTGAGTGGTCTCCTAATAACTGGCAGGTTTGATACGTGGGTCTTCAAAGAGCTGCGACATTGCTCAGTCGGGTTCTCCCACCAGGTTGGAAACATCTTCAGAGACAGCTGAAATACATCATCCTAACCATAGATAGCCCTTTCCATTTAAAGTACACACAATATTAATGTCCTCAATAGTCACCAGCTACATTTTATTATTGAGCAGATAATTTAGTAGATATTTTGCAAAATATTCCCCTTTCTCAGTCACTTAAGAACTTTTTTGGGGGAGGGGGTGGGTTGGGGAGCAACTGCGCCTGAAGCCTTCAATCTTCCCAAAACTGACTGCAGCAGTTTCTCCTTTCCAAAATTAGATCAGTTCCAGGGAAAGTATGGAGAAACAGGCAAAACGAAGCGCCAGCTATTACTCGGATGGAGAGGAAAAAAGGAGCATTCACAACCCATGTTATTTAGCTTCAGAATCAAATGGAACCTGGTGATAGCCTCAAACCTCTGAGGATCAGTGCTCTCACGGTCTCGATGTTAAAACCAACATCTTCAAAGTTAAGATCGATCGCGCAGATTTCAACAAACTCTTAGAAATATCTTATTTTAGAAACAGTTTTCAGCAGNTTTTTTTACACACCTGATTTCTAACTGAAGACTGAATTGAAGGATTTACCAATAGTTCTGTGTAATCTCATTTGGAAACACTGGCTGCAAGGCTAATGGTCTTGAGGAATTTCAGGCCCCTGGAGCTTTTGTTACAAGCACCACATACATTACAACAAATCTCTCTCCTGAAATATTACTGATGCTTTCCCTTTACTGTGAATTTGCTGTGAAAAAATTGCTCTCTCTCTCTCTCTGTTAGTGCTTTGGGATGTCCTCCTGGCGTTAAAGGCGCTATACAAATGTAATATGTTATTGTTGTTGTTACTGTCTCAGCTTTCTTTCACTCTTTCTACACAGCTATTTATAAATTAATGATGTACAGATGGTTAAACAAACGAGTTTAGAGATAAATTTGCTAACAATGTGAACCACCAACCACCCAAAAAGCAAAGATGAAGAAAGAAAAACTGGAGCTTAGATTCCAAGCTGTTTTAGAAAGATTTATCCGAGTGAATTGGGGTAAAATACTCCACATTAAAACAGCTAAACAATCAGTTCCTGGACCTTTTAAAGCAATCGCACAGATCAGACTCTGCTAAGTAATGCCTGACATTACTATTTCATTCTTTTTCACGATTTAAAATGTTGCCAAACTATTTATTAAAGGGTTACAGACATCATAATGTCTGAATGAGACCAAAAGAAGTCTGCAGTGTGAAATGAATCGGAGGAGTTCAATTTATAATTGAATGGCTGTTCCCTCTTTATGGCCGGGAGAGAATGGACACACACACCCATTTTAATTACTGTAGCCTGGGTGTAAATGATATACGGAAGGGCAAGGGATAGCAGAACCAAAACAATCTCAGATCACCATGTATGTGGCGTTATTGAGACTTGTACTCCCATTAATGTTTTTCATGAAAGAAACCCTTTTAAAGTAATCCTTGGCTGTTGGCAGAAGCAGCCGCAAAGCACAACAATGGACCCGATAAAGTATAAAGCTGAACCAGTGTTATGGCCTATCAGCAGCTAGTTGTGTTAGTAGGTTGTGTTGAAGTGTTGGTAGGCTCTGTTAAATTTTTCATAGCTTTTGTTAAATTCTTAGTAGGTTTTCTTAAACTGTTGGGAGGGTTAGGGTTAGTGTTGGGAGGTTTTGTTAAACTATTGTTATTGCTTATACAATGCTCGTTTCTGACAAGACATGGAATACTAGCCCCAACCACGTCTAAGTGCTGTGCCAAAGAGGTTTGAAATTGCTGCTTCAATTTAAGTTTCTCATTACATATTTTTCTACTTGTATTACTGACATTTCTTTTTATAGACACACCTTACTTATGAACGAAGCTGTTGAAAGTCATCAATTTTGTTATGAAAATAGCTCCGTCCTAAATCAGAGCATAATGCCCGACAAAGTAAGCTTCGCCAGCAGCTGCTTTACTTTCACAATAGTTTAAATAAACTCTTACAGAAATTGTACACAATAAAATTTATCTTTTATTCTTAGCATAAACAGCATCTAACAAAAAACGTCAGTCTCGTCTTTCTGAACAATATAAATGCTCATATTCAATCTTTGTTCTTCCGGTAAATTTACTGGCTTTGCTCTAGAAAGCAGATAAAAGCTTACGGCACCCAAAATACCACAAAATTGAGTTATAAAATTTCTAACCCAGGAAAATAAATTCACTTCAGCATCTACGGCAAGTGTTAACTGTCCTTCTTAAGCAGAGAAACAGGAACTCACCTTGTGTCTAAAATCGCTGGGTGGCTAAAAATCCGGTGTGTGGGTTTAGATCGTCTGCACAACACTACTACAATACGTTCATATTTGGGGAGTGTTTTCCTGGCGGTCAGAAGCAATTAGCAAGTACTGAATCCCTCCCTACTCCACGCCCCCCACCCCCCCCTCCAACATTAAGTAGTTTCCTGATGCAGCTTATTTGCTGTTATCAGTGTACTTGCATCTTGGCAAATTGTGGTTAAATTATTTAGGATATTCTCTTCCACTAAAAGCTTACTGCAGCAGATGAAGTATTGCTTACTGCTTAAAGGGATGGAGCCACCGCTACCTTTAATGAAGCAGGAGCTTAGGAACCTGTGTGGGCTTTTTCATCAATTACAGCACAGGGCATAGGCACGTCGCTGGGCAAGAATGATTGGCTAAAAATTGTGTTAAAACCCAAGATAAATGTAACATTTGGTTCAATGTCCTAGAATTTGTGGTAATTTTAGATTGTCCTATAGGACGAAGGGACCCTTAATCTTGCCCCATACCTGGCTGTGCTAATAATTTTATATGTAAAACCTCTCGCCTAAAAGAGAACTGGCTTGATCCTAAAACTTAAAATGTAAGTTTTATAATCTTCTCAGATTGCATTATTACCAAGGATTCTAATAAAATGCAGGATTCTACTGGAACTCCCAACTGTACCTTACCCCAGACGCGGCCGAAACACTCGTCCATGTTTCGTCACCTCAGGACTTAACTGCTTTCTTTGCCAGTCTCCCCAGCTGTACCATACACAGGATCCAGCCGCATACTCACCCGTACTAAACTACGTACCCCCATTGTACCAGTCCTAGCCAGGCTCCACTGGCTGCCTATCGCTGAACGGATCGATTTCAAGATCCTCATACTTGTTTTCAAATCGCGTCATGCTCGGGCACCTACCTATCTCTCCGACCGCTTACCCCCAAACATACAACCCGCTGCCTCCGGCCTTCTGCGTGTCCCTCGTACTCTCTGTTCCACCATTGGTAGCCACGCTTTCAGCCACTATGCCCCGAAACTCTGGAACACCTGAAGACTTTCCTATTGGACTGCACCTACGGTCACCATCCCTCCCCCGGCTCTGTGTCGTGCTTCGCCACTGTCAAGCATTCTGGAAACGCTGCCCTGTATGAGGGGCACTGTATGTTGTTATTATTGGTGTTGTCTGGGTATTTTGTCATTGCTGCTAGGAGAGAGTGGAACTATGCTACCTGTGTTAAGGCCAAAGCCACACACCGTTAACTTGCTGCCTATTCATATCTAGTTAATAGAAAGGAAGGGCAGCCACAACAACACAACATTCATAGCCATACTGAAAAGGGTGTGTATAAGGGCAGCGTGTAACATACTGGTTTGTTCTGTGGTTTAGTCAGTCTAGCCGCAGAGGTAGTGACAATATTCACATCTAGTGATTGGGGCAGCTCCAAACAACACTTTAGGAGTGATGGTTTGAGGAGCTGTGGTTATATCGCTGTTTCGTTTGTCACTGCGAGCCGGGGAAAAGCAGAATCGTCCATATAGCTGCTCACAGAGTGCACTTCTAACCTCTTGCTGAGAGGAACGACCAACATTGTCAGCCCTCACCATCCTTACAAGGTAAAATGGACATCAGGTTGCCACTGTGTGTGTTTTATATATATTAAGTATTTAAAATCTCCCCTTTAAACACAAGGCACTGCCAATACCTGTGGTCCCCTTCCTACCTCATGACCTGCTAACCCCTGATCAACCTGTCCGCTCCCTGTGCTCAGCAGGCTCCACGCCCCCCGCCCGACCTGCCCCAGCATCTGTGTTTGGGCCTTCAGCCTCTCTGCCCCATCCTTTGGAACTCCGTCCTACATTCCCTTCGCCTTGTGCTCTCCCTTGCCGTCTTCAAGGCATGTCTCAAGACCCACCTTTTCAACCATGCATTCATCCACCCTCCCTGATTCAAACAGCCCCCTGTGCCCCCCCCCCCCCCCTCTCCCACTTGGGTCCAAATCCCTGACTGTCCAGCGCCTTGGAATGTCCTCTCGCCATGAAGGGCGTTATACAAATGTAATTTATTGTATTGTAATAGATCGCTCTCCAACACACAGCGACTGAAAATTCCATCAGATCAGTGAACATACACAGCAACTGCAGTCCCAGCACAGATTAGTCACATCCGTACACTCAGCACACTGTTCTGGTTAGCAGCTTAGTGACAAACATTGATTTTCAGACGAAAAGATAAAAAAAAGTGCTGACTGCACTGCAGCTCCAGCCTTTGCATCGAACAGAAAACCAACACTGTCTCACATTTAGTTATTCCCAAATAATAAAAAGCTAGGAATGCTTTTAGTGAAACGATTTTGAAACGATCACAGACACCACTCGCCATAATTCAGGGTCTCTGGTTCCAGCTGCAGTGAAGTCTGGGATTGAGTTTGCCTTTGCCAGTTCAAGAGCCTGCTGTTGCTCTCTGATTATCATACCCCTGCTCCCCAGTGGCTGAGCAACAACAACAACAAATTATATCTGTATAGCACCTTTCACATCAGGAGGACGTCCCCAAGCGCTGACCAACACTGGAGCACGGTCAAAACTGGCTGTGCAAATGGTTCACAATAATGATCAACTCAAAAAAGCAGTTGCTGTCAAGTGGAGCGAGTGTTATTTTGAGCAAAGGTCACCAGGAGAAACTCTTCTTATCAAGTTGTGTCGTAAGATCGAAAATATCCAGACAGACCTCTGGTTAAAATCTTGTCTATAAGACAGCACCTCCGACAATGCAACACTTCACCAGCATTGTGCTAGAGTGTCAAATATCTAACAGAGAGCTTGAACCCACAACCTTCTGACCCAAAGGTGAGAGTGCTACCAACTGATGCAAGCCACTACATGTCAAATTCCTGATAAACCATCTTCTTAGGTACTTCACTGTTGCCTCCCACTACCCAATTTCATTCTTCAATCAGCAGAGCAGTGGATTTGGACTGCAGATTATTTTACAGACATCTGTATGACTGACTACAAGATCTTCTGTCGGGTCAGATTGATCCTTGATATATGATTCCCAGTCCAAAATCCTGAAAGTCATAGCCATCTCATTGAAAACCTGACTCCTCATCACTAGAGTGACCTATAGTCAAGGAACCAGGCTACAGTAAACACAGCAATAATATTGAAGCCCTTACCATGTAATTAAAATGAAAGAAAATTGCTTTCACAATGCAATTTTTACCCAACAGAAGAGTCAAAGCACACAATTTTTCCCAAGCTATGCCAGGCTTGATATTTCACAGTGCAGCGCAATGAAGAGCTAAACAACAACAACAAGATTCCATTTATAGAGGGCCTTTCACGTCGGGAGGACGTCCCAAGGCGCTGACATTTCACCAGTTCCTAGCATTAAGATCATTGCCTTCAAACTTAAGATCGTACAGAATTATTTTTTTAAATCCAATCTCAATTTGGAACCCAGTTAAAAACAAACTTCCAAATTAAGACTGAATTTAAGAATTTTCAAAAATTCTGCACAATGGTTGAAGGCTGAGACGAGTTGGTATTTCAGGTCGTTATCTCTCCCCAAGCTTTTCCTGCGAATGCCAAATGCAATCTTTGGCTTGTGAATTCTCTCCTAGGATTTTACAGCAGGTAAACCGGGCGGAGCAGCTTTCTGAAAACCCATCATTTATACACCAGCAGCTTCCTGAGTTCGATAGACACCATCTAGTTGCGGGCAACAGACACGCACAAAAACACTGCAATAAAGACACAGGACAGAACACCCAGCCCAAAGTGTACACAAACGCATCAAATACAGGCATGCACAGGACCATCTTCACCAGGTCCTGCAGTAAGACCATGCACGTTCGCAGAACTACAAGAGAAATCAGGATTTTGTGAAGCTTTATGCATCCTGCGATCAAGGAAATATGTTGGTGGCTGCAAAGAAAATGAGTTCCCTGACATGGAACCAGAAAGGCAGCTTTCCACAGTGAGAGGGGATGTAATGCTGCACTGCATGATGCACATGAAGAACAAAGCACACAGTGGCAGGGGCACACTACACCAAGACGCAATGGGAGCAGGCCAAGTGAATGAAACACATGCAGTGAGTAGCGAGTACCTGTAGAACTGCAGCTGCCGTTTGGGACTGCCATACCGGGCACTTCAGGCAGCATGAGTAGAGAGAAAAAAAAACAAGGCCAATGTCACAAACCAACGAGAGTTAGAGAAATTCAAAACAGCACCAACAAAGATTTCTGTCCGCCTCAAACCCAGCCAAACCAGGCAGGAATTCAACCCTATTCAAACAGTGATGCACATTTTAATAGGGCAAAAAGGCAACTTCTTCCGATCAGCTCAGTACCTCTTACACGCCCCATAAACCATCAAAACATCTGTGTGAGTGAACTGAACCATTTGATCTGTTCCAAGTGGCTAATACACAGAAAGCTGACTCACAGCAGCTTGTGGGGGGTGCAAATGCATTCATATTTTGCTGATCAGAAGAGAGTTTAGTCAATCCCCAATAATAGTCATTATTACCAATGTGTTTATAATCGGTTTCCAATGCATCAGCTACATCACATGTCATCAAATTGCTGCTCTATTAATATCAGCACATAGTTTACACAGGGACTGTATATCCTTTGGGTAGGTAACAGTTGTGGTGTTTCAGTGATGTTGATATAAAAATAGGGGTTATGCAATAGGAAGGTGTAAGATACCTTTTCAATTTCACTGATTAGCTCAGAACTCACGAATCGAAAGTCATGCAAGTGATCTTTAGTCAAATAAAAATAGGTATGATATTTCAGTTCTTTATAGTATGCCTTGCCACCGTTTTGTGCACATTAACATCTGAATTTAACTAACAACGTTTTTCCATTGTTTTCAACACTGAAGGTAAATATCTCTTTTCGTGCCAGAGAGCAACTGAGAGCGAACGGAGGGTTTATGGATGAAGCTGCTATCCAGAGTGTGAGAGAGCGTGGGTCACAGAATGGTCGATCCATTGAGGAAATTCACAATCCCAGACGTACATTCCCAATCTCAGCCACACTCACCTTCATCTTCCCTGCAGCTCACACCGTTCAGGAACGGCTTATTTTATGAGTAGTTCTCCTTGGCTCAAGTAGTGACAAAGAAAAAGACCGAGCA